TGGTTATTTTACAAAAACAAATTATTCCGAAATATTTTTCAAAGAACTTTCAAAGAACGTAAGGTAGGTTATAACGGCGATCGCAAATATCTACTAAGACCTATTGGTCCATTGTGTTACCGTAAAATAGTTGATAAATATAAAACCATTTAATAAAGTTATAGATACTTTTTACCATTATTAAAATTTGTGTTAAAAATCTATAATTATTATCCCTATAAATGTATTGATTTTCATAATTGAATCCAAAAAAAAATGATATGTTTGCAATTTCTGGTAAATATCAGTAAAACTTCTTACTTGTGATATATTTAAAATTTAGGTAAAAAAAATTTTTTTATTCAACAAACATGCAATTCCGATAATTAAACGTAGTTACAATCGGGTACAATAATAAATACAACTGTTAATTTTTAAGCTGTCAAAGTATAGCAATTATTCACCACAGAAATGAAGAGGTAGTAAGTTTTTAAAATGTTTTGTAAAAGTTATAGTACATTTACACTATTTCATTTAGGTACTTGCTCATTTATATTAATGAGTGAACGTTCAAATTATATTGAGCTCATTTATGCAGCTAATAGAACTTTTATAAACTTTACATATAACACATATTCCAAATTTAGGTAATTTATCTTGTGGGAAATTTATTTTTAAGTCATTTTTCGCCTTAAATGGGGTCATTATTTATATTATTTATTATTAATAATTATTTATAATGACCCCATTTATATCAAAGCTCTTTGTATGGCAAATTATCCTCAAATTCTCCTAAATGAGATAGTGTGAATATGCTATTAGCGTCAATATTTATTTCATAAATATATCTAAATTTGATTTTTGTTTCATAACTTTGAACATATTTAAATAATTTTTTATAGCAATAAATAATAATTATAAATCAGTGACTATTATACCCCCGCAAGCATAAGCCACGAAAGTGGAAGATGGTCTAGTGTGATACGCTAAAATACAATTTTGATTTATCCTCCAACTAACCGGTAAGTTTTTGGTAATTTCGAAATATACATCTCTCATTTTTTTACTTCCGATCAAGTTTTTGACAAGTTTAAAAATCTGTGGAAGTAAAAATAGTTCAAAACTTATCAAAACCATGGGTGTGTAGCCTCTGTGTATTAAGTTTTTATAGCACTTCATTTAGAAATATTTTAAATATGTGTATTGATAATTTTAATTGTTACTATTAATAAAACATTGACACTATTTGCAATTATTATAGAACAATTATCTAATGTGTTGTAAGTAAATAACTTTTTTCTGAAAAGTTTAAATTTCTAAGTTTATTTAGAGATAATACTAATTTATGCATTAATATCTAAAACTAATAGCTCAAATATGGCGATATTTTTTATTGTTTTAAGAATATATGTATGTGAGCTCTTCCTTGTATATTCAACGATTTCATATCGTCTTGTATAACTTTTTTTTCTTTCATTTTTATTGGTTGTAGACTCTACGAATTAAACGGAAGATTTATTATCTTAAAGAAAGGCTTAGTCATAGTCATGTATGTGATAAACAGTAATTATATTATTTTGCTCCCTGAAATATTAGGTCTGTTCCACGAGCTACTCGTAGTAAAACTCAAGTAAAACACAAGTACCTGAAGTATAGACTGAGAGCGTAATACAAATAAATTGCAAAATTACACTCTTTATACAGATTTACAGGAAACAGCTTTGTGTGAAGTCTGGTGAGGACACTAGTACCGCCCAAATAAAAAATACAAAAATTTGAATTTAAACAAAAACACAACTGATTCACACATCAACACAAATTTTACTTAAAATAAAATGTACGAGTAAAGTTTGTGTAGCATTTTCAAATTTCGAAAGGGATGTTACGCTCTCTCAGATGATCTCATTTACTTAGAAATGTTTTGGAAGAATTCTTTTCGAATTTTGTTTGAAAACAATCTAGAAGTATATGCAAAATGTCGAAAATCAAACCAGTGTATATGTAAATTATTTTTTAAATAAAAAGAATTTCCTTAAATTCTCTTGATAGTAGCTATCTTATCACAATACTTAAATGCTTTCATATCCTCAATTTCGCGTTACTATTGAAATAGCAATATATATTACTAACAATTAAAATTAATTAGTTTACATTTTAAATGTTTAATTACATTAAAATAAATAATTTTTATTAAAAGAATTTTTTTTTTTTGATTTTAAATAATTTTTGTGTTGTGCATATTTATTATATATGGCAACTCTACAATATTAAAATCAATATAAAAACCTCAACTTGTTTTTTATTTGAATCAACGCAGGATCAAAATGTTTAACACAAAATTAAAAAACTCATTTAATTGAAAAACATTTTAATACAATTTTTGTAACTTACTCCCAGGTCTCTTTTTTATTAATATTTTTTATAATATTAAAAAACATTATTTGAATGTATTGATAATTTTTATTTGATAGGATTTCGTCGTAATAGGGAATAGTTTCAGTTACAACTAGAAAATCCTAATTATTTTTCGTTATGTTACGACATTTATATTTACCTAAACAAATTTTATTTATCTAAACAATTTATTTATTTACCTAAACAATATCAATAAATTTTATATTATTAAATTTTTTATCCTTTGTTACATATACAACATACCTGCTCGACATATTCTACCATTTTTACCTATCAAGAGAAACAGTGCATACAATTATTTTATGACTGCATTTGAAGATGAAAAAACACCATAAATCAACTAAATCAACATTTACTATAAAATAAAATTATAACACATGAATCGTAGTTTTAGGATATCTTTATTAAAGTAAAAAATTGCTTGTGTGCAAAAGTTATGCTGTTATTTAACTCAGTAACTTTAAGCTTTATATTTCTGCGTTTACAATATTAATATATAAATTCACATCGGAAGTATTTAAAAACTAAATCAACAAACTATATAGTAATGGAAATTAAAATACTATTTTTATAAAGGCTTTATAATGTATTTTTCACACATACTTCCAACTCTGAAACTCCCGCAGAAACTTAAAGCAAAAAGATGACTTTGAGGTCTACTTGTCGAGAGCAGTGTTGGTTTTAATAGCAATAACGCATTCCTCACCACAAGATTTGAGTACTGTGCACTGTAATAAAAGAGAATAAAAAAAATGTATTATAATATCTAAGTACCACAAAGAGTGAAAATAATACTTACGAGAAGATCCTTTCCGTTTTCAAAATCAGATCTAAGGGAATTTCCTAAGTCACCTTCTGGAATTTTAAGATCCTCCCTTATATCGCCGTTGTCTGACATCAAAGTTAAATAACCATCATCACTTATATCGGTTAACTGGTAGTCTTCTCTTTTAACGTGTGGCACGTCCATATTATGAGTAGATGGGCAAATATCTTCGTATCTATGGACAAAGAATTGTTTTTAATAATATTTATTATAAATAAATATTAAATAGTTTAAATTATATATAGAAATATAGTTCTAACTTGTTCACAATAGAAGTATGTTTTTTTTAGTTAATAGGTAAATCATTTCATTATATTATGAATACGTTCTTAAGATGTTAAAATAATTCTTACTTCTTATTTGTAAAAATGTCAATGCCAACCATGTGAACTTTAGCATGGCCGTGCTTTCCAGTCTTAGAAGTCGACATTTCAACGATCTTACAGGGACGACCTTTTAACATGACAAACCCATTCTTACGTAGAGCCGAACATTGCATAGGGTAGGTTTGAGAAGCACCAGAATCGCCAGTCTCGAAGTGATGATCATCCATTTCTGCCATTTTTATTTATTATAATCTGATGCTACCCTTTAAGAGAATCTGTAAGATGTAAAAAAATTATTTAATAAATTTTTGGGCAAACAAAAACTTATTTATTTAACATAAAAGAACTTTATAAAATGGAGGTTAATCAAATATTTGCTTGTTTGTTAATTCAATATTAAAGTAGATATTACTAAAGCATATCATTGAAGTCTGGTTTATATTTTAAATTGTTTTTATTACTTTTAATAAAATTTTAATATACACCCTATTATACCCAAAGAAGTAATAATTGAATTTAAAATTATATACCCTGCTTAATGTAGATGCAGTTATTTCTAACAATTCTTTATTTCAAGGTTAGGGTGAATTCTAATCGCAAACTAATTAAAAATGAAAATTTGTTTCTTAACGCTTCTAAAAAAATGGGCACCAAAAACAAATGTCTTACAGTTGCACATTTATGTAAACAAACATTAATTGTAGTAAACATTAAACACATAGTAAAGCATTCAATGTAAATTTTTTTCATTTTTAAAACTTTTTTTTTTATTAACTGTATTTATAAAATTATAATCAATTTAAAATAGTAGTTAACACAACAAAGATATGATTGTTAAATTTTATCTACCACGGATTTTTGTACTTTTATATACTTATATATATAGGTATATATATATATATATATATCAGTACATTTTTTTTTTGCGAATTTTCCATCAAGCCATATTAGAAACAATTAATTGCCACGACACTATATACAATTTGACTCCTTTGTAAAATTTTTACTTACAAAAAATATTTAAAACACAAAATTACTTTGCTTCAACTTGAAACTTACTATTAATTTGAATGCCTTTTTTAAACAATTAACTAAATTCGACAGGAAAAGCGTACTCACATGTGGTTAAACTGACTGCCGCAACAAAAGAGGCGAAATAAAACCTTGCCAAAAACAAGCTAGTTCCCTGGAATTTCCGGTTGAAACTATCGGAACGGTAGTAATGAAATCGAAACAGCATTGCCTGAAATATTGTACACTGCGAAAAATACAGCAAGTAAATAAATTTCTGAATATTCAGTGATACTCAAAGACACATATTTTTTGGATTTATGAACGTATATCATGTATTTGAAGCCAATATATATACATACATATAAGTTTATTTATAGTATTAGATGATTTGTGTTGCAAAAATTCCAGCGCATAATAATTATTTTTAAAAACTATTATAAACTAATCTAAACATGCCAGAGAATATTAAAACAAAATATATTATAAACAGTAAAGAAAATTTACGAATATATATTCAAATAAATGTTTTTTATTTTCTTTCCAAAAAAATGTTTTTTTCCAAATGTATGCGAAATAAGATGTAATTATTAATATGTACAAAATGGTATCGAAAACCAATTATGTAGACTTAATTGTGGTACACAGTAAATCAAAAGTTTTAATTTTTATATTTTATTTTAGAACAAACGCTAATTGCTTTGAAAAATCAGTTATTCTCCGTTATATACTGTACGAACAGATCAACCTAACGAAACATTATCTTTTGCATATGGGTAAAGACTCATATACAAAGTTTACGTGAGCTTTAAAATATATTTCAATATATAATTTGAAATAAATTTTAAAAACTTTTTATCGGTACCTTAAACCTTAAAACTTCTTTCAAATTTTTATATAATGCTTAAAGTGAAAATTAATGTCCAAAATTTGAAACAACTTTTCGTATTAACGGACTGTCAAAATTATTCATTTATATATATAAAATTTTTTTTTGTGATTTGCGATAAATGCTTACTATTTTTAATTCCTAAATGTAGAAATGCTCTAATTATTTGTTTCTACTTTTAGATCTGTTCCACAAGCTACTCATAGTAAAACATAAGTAAAACAGAAGTAAAATTTACACAAAAATACTTGAAAATTTGCTGGTGGAACGCGCTTGTGTATACACAGTGTTTACTCAAAGTTACTATGAGTAGCTCGTGGAACAGACCTATTATTTATACAGAATAATAATCGTATTTTTAAGTAATCGAATGCATGCAAATACAGCAACTCGGTTATTACTTGGCAAAAAATATATTGGCATCACTGTTAAATGTTGTAACTCGTTTATGTGAATCATTCGCCACGACTCGTTAATTTTTTGCAAGAATAAACGATTTATCAAATAATTTTTATCACCTCTTAAGTGTGATATTAACGTAATATAAAAAATTTACCATTCAAAAATTTATGGTACGATGAAAGGAACTTATGAAAATAGAACATTTTTCGATTTCATTATTATTTTTTACTCATTGGCATTATTTCTAGTATTTTGTATTACTATCAATTAAAAAAAACTATTCTAAAAATATTTTACAATGTTTATAATATTAAATAAATATAATATTTTAATATTGTTAAAAAATTATTTTGAATTAATTTTGCCAACTCATCTTAAATTTTTTGATTATAATGTTTAGTGTCGACCTTAATGTTTATGTTTGAAATTTTAATATAAATTTTAAAACTAGGACCTAAAACCCGGCCAAAAATATCAAACATTTTTTGATTATATGAAAAAAAAAATATAAAAAATTTGTTTAATACATATTACAAAATATTTTTGAAAATAATGGCATGGACCTTATAATATGTTTTATATGTAAATAAACAACTTCAATTTTGTTTAAATTTCGATATATTGTTAAGAACTTTTAATTTTTAAATAATTAATATATTGATAAATGTAACATATTCTACAAAGCAACAAATCCAGCATTATTGCGTTATCTTTACGTTTTCTTTCTTGTCCTTTTCGCCTTTATCTGTCAACTAACTCACCACCGTTCATGGTTGTATTTTTGCATTGGTAATTTATTTAATTTCCATTCTTAAAATTAAATAAGATCAAACAACACATATAAGCATATAAAAAATAAATTACTACAAATGCGAATACAGGGTAAATTTTATAATAATCAGCGAATATTTTGTTTGCTACAATTTTTCACGTCTTTACTTCGGTTTGGTTTGAATAGTGTTGCAATAAACTAAGTGGTTTCTCGTAAATACCATAAAGTATCGTTTTATCATTTCTTCAGAAGATTTAGATACAAGTGAAGAATAGCATAAACATGTACCAACTTTGTGCCATCAATAAAAGCAATGGGCTTTATAAGTCACTTTAGATTATAAATATTGTAAATATATTTATAAAAATCTATTTATTTCATTATTATTTATTTATTTCATTACATTTTTATCGCAGGTTTTAGGTACAATAAAAATGTTTGATGACTGGAGTTGAAGTTCACAATAAAGTGGTTAATTAATTTGGCAGTATATTATTTTTACTTGGGAAGGTGACAACACAATTAAAATCTATTTAAAAATCTAGTTAAAAATCTAGTTATCAAATAGTATAAACATTAACATATCCCAAAGGATGTTTGGCCATAGATAGAATATAATAGAATCGAGATAAACAGGGTACCGTGTTCTAACGGAGTGGACAACAATTGATCTTTTGTACTGCAACACACCCTATCCGAATAGAAGACACTCCGCCTTCCGAATGAAAGCCAGAATGTTAACCGTTGGGTACCTCGGGTATATTTTTATCTCGTAAAATCCTATCTATCCACGTTATTTTGCATGAGTCTATATCTTTTCGGGCGAGTGCTACAGGTATGGATTTATATGATGTATTTTCAAAAACTCCTTTTATATTCAGAAATTCACATAAGACAATCTCCTTAGATTGAAAGATGCTTTAAATTTTGTTGCCCAAATGACACAGCGCGACCTCCGTAGATTTGGCATTTGAGTACGCAAATTGGGTGGAGTGGAGAAGTACAGTATGGTCCAGTTTATTCCGTATGTGCTGATCAATCAGCCTTTCAACAGTCTTCAGTAAGAAAGATGTAAGGCTAATAGGCCTGTAGGGCTGTGGCTAGTCCAGTGATTTATTTCCAAGTTTGCGAATAAAGATCACGTTCACTCCTCTCCAGGAGTGAGGTATAACCCATAGTAAAACAAGCCCTAAAGAGTTTGATTAATGGATCTGGAATAATATCCGTGCATATCTGTAGTAACTCGCTATTTTCATTCTTAATGAGACCACATAAGTACTCTAAAACTGGCCCATGCACTGTATTTAATAATTTATAATGTTTGGAGTTGGTGTGTCTCTTGCATGGTTATCACTCTTGACCCATTAACTAAACTTTTTAGGGCTTGGTTTACTATATGCTAATATCCCCAATTCTGGAGAGGAGTGAATGTGATTCCTAAATTTACTCCTAGACTAAACAATAAGGTGCTCATCAGTTAAAGTCATATAGACCAATCATCCTCATTTCCTGATTGAATGCTGCAGAAGGACTGGTTGTTATTTAATTAAGTACGTAATTACTGCGTACTACTCCTCTTGTTTTTGTTGTGGCCCATAGCCTGCGGGGATCTGAAAAGGAGATAAAGGAATCACATGAGGAACATATGGGTTGAGATGTGATTGGATAATGGTTGATTGAGGGGGAGGGGATTATTAGAGAACGGGTGTGAATGGATGGGTGGAATTTTATTTGAAATCAACCAAATCAAGACGGAAAAACTTAGTCACTTCAATGGGTAGTTTCATGGGTCCAAATGATGATTAGACTAGTATTTGTATGTACAGTAGGACAGGAAAGCAGATAAGTGACATCATGCGGGGTAGAACTGCAGATTGGGCACACATTAGGAATTGTCGTATTCTGAATTGAGCTCGGACAGTTCTTTCTGCACGGGAGAGTCGTTGTTCTTATATACTGCATCTATGTAGAGGGCTGTGTTCATATATGTATTCGACCTCGCTGATGTAAGCTTCATTGCAAAGGGTGTCGATTTATCTATATTATGAAGAAGGAGATGGACGAGTGTATTTTAGTGGGAAGGCCATTGGGATGTCTGTTTGGCATGCAAGAAGTTATTGGTTGAACACTATGCGAGATCTTTCAACACATTTTTACGTGACTTCATTGCCGTGACATGTGCAGAAAAGATCAACTTGCTGTCTAGTACGAAATTGAGAATTTTGGGTTTGATAATGATGGGGATTGACTTTATAGACAGAGTTAAAGCTCCATAAGATGACTGTGGTATAAGATTTGGTTGAATATAGATGAAGATTTCTATCACCAAACAGAGAGGCCGTATACGGGACCAAAGTGATCCCGCCAAGGTGATACTATGGTATTTTCTAAATTCATGCCGATAGGAGCAAGGTAAATATATGGCGATATCTGTTTCAGAACTAGGAACTCCATAACTTTGGCTACTGGAGACAACAGAGGAATCGACCTATACGATTCACCTTTATCATTCAGTTAACCCGGCTTCAAAAGAGGGATGATATATGAATTGTTGGAGGAGTTGAGAATGTGTGTCAGAACTAAAAGATCAATGGCCCCAAGGTGTTGAGCATGAGTATCGAGATGCCATCAGGTTCAAGGGCTTTCGAGGCCTTTCGAAGCGAAGAACAAGAGAAGTAGAATCATTAATTAAATATTAAATATTATGGCCTTATTATTGGGGCGGAGAGGATTAGGTAATGCTTAAATGGTTTACAATCTACCATTTTCAGAGTTGCAATTAAATAGATGTCCATTCCATTTATTACGGCGATATTTATCTACCATTTTAAGGATGTTGTCGTTCAGAACAGCAATGAGCATTTAAATCAGTCAACCCAAATGCGAGTCTCCATCTAGAAGACGAGAAATGTTAGGATCTCCTGTGAAATTCGAAGTGCTCATTCTCGATTGTATGGATCAGATGATGTTCTTTATATACTTTCAATACACTCTGTGTATTTGTAACCAGTTCAGCACTTTCGTTCTTACATATTGATGTTTCAGACTTAAAGCCTTGAGTCAGACGGTTAACTTTTTGATAAAATTTACG